GAGGCGTAGGCAATGCCAAGTGAGCCGTTTGTTTATTGAGAAAGACCTCGACGTAATTGCCGTGCAAGAGTCAAAGATAGAGAGCGAAGACCGGACGGAGAGCATGGTGCGGCTCTTTGAGTCACGTTACGATGTATGCGTCAGTCACGCTGTGGGAACGTCGGGGGGATGCCTTTTATTTATCAGGAAGTCTCTTGGGTCTGTGACCAGAGTTGTTAGTTGCGAGTCTGGTCGCCTGGTCCTGTGCGATTTGACCATTTCAAGTAAACTGTTTCGTATTTTGTGCGTTTACGCCCCTAATAAGGCGGAAGAAAGATTAGTATTTTTTTAAAACATTTCCGAGTTCGTCCAAACCGATAGACTTGTCATTTTGTTAGGGGACTTCAACTGCGTTTGCGAGCCGCGTGACCGATCGAACAGCACGCAGTATAGAGATACGAGTACCATTTTTCTAAGTGATATGGTCCAGAAGTGTGAATTGGAAGACGTGGGTCAGTGTGCATCAAGTCCTACCTGCCTATTTTTTACTCACTTCCAAGGTGCTAGTCACGCACGGTTGGATAGAGCTTATGTTTCTTTGGAACTCGTCAGGTCCTGTAAAACGTATGCAGTGGACCCAGTGTCTTTCAGAGACCACTGTCTTGTTTCTTTTACATTGGGCTCTTCAAAGGAAAAAGCCAATAATTTCAGTTGGGATCTGTGGAAATTAAATTCGAAGCTTTTACAAGACGATATTTTTGCGAGTGAGGTGCGTAAAAGTCTCGAACAACCAGATAAAGTAAAAGAAGGAAAAAGTGTCGGGGCGAAATGGGAACTGTTAAAACAAGAATTTAAGATGAGCGCCATTGAAAGATCTGTTGCCTTAAAACATGGGGAAAGAAAAGAAATTACGGAGCTAAAGGGGCTGCTACAAGATTTGCTTAACGCGGACAGCATATCACCCGGGCTGTTTTCCGATGACATCAGTGTTTTAAAGAAACGCCTTGAGGCCCTTGATACCGAACGTTATCAAGGGGCCATGGTTCGAGCACGTTTACAGCGTTTATCACGGGGGGAGTTACCCACGAAAAGAGCCCTAGGGTTAGAAAAGAGATACGCTAGCAAGAATGAAATAAGCGAGATAGAGTATCAAGGGTCTTTGACGAGTGAAAGACAAGTCATCGTGCGTGCTTTTGTTGAGTACTACAAAGGGATTTTCAGTTATCGTGCTTCAAAGATAGCAGAGTTCCAAACGACCTTTTTGCCGTTAATGCCGAAACTCGATGATGAAGCAAGAAAAAGGTTAGAACAACCAGTAGAGCTGTGGGAGATTGAAAAAGCGATAGATAATTTAAAGCCTGGAAAGTCGCCCGGCCCAGATGGTTTAGGAGGGGATTTTTACAAAACGTTTAAAGATCAAGTTGCACCTTTATTGCAACGCGTTTTCGCTGAGGCGTACGACCTTGGTTGTTTGCCTCCTTCCTTTTTGTGTACGCAAACGATTTTTATTCCAAAGAGCGAGGACCCCGAGCGACTCCGTTCTGTTGGAGCGTATAGACCGATAACGCTCACCAACGTTGATTATAAAATTTTCATGAAGGTATTGGCTGAACGCTTACAAATGGTTATTAACGTCATCGTCGGTTCGCACCAAACTTGCGGCATTAGAGGCCGAAGTATTGTAACCAATGTGCACGTCGCGCGCAGCATTCTAGAGTGCTGTGACGCCATGCACCGTAGGGTCGCGGTGCTACAAGTGGATTTAGAAAAAGCGTTTGACCGTGTGTCGCACGAGATTCTTTTTTCGATTTCAGAACACGTTAATGTAGGGTCTCTCTTATACAACGGCATCCGTATGGCGTATAAGAACTGCGCCACCAGTTTCGTAGTGAATAAATCTGTTAGTGAGCGCATTCCCCTACTTTCTTCTGTGCGGCAGGGATGTCCGCTTTCACCGCTACTTTTTTGTGTCTTTTTGGAGCCTTTTTGTTTGAGCATCATTCATAACAGTCAGATACGTGGGTTTAGACTACAGGAAACTGAGGTCCGTCTTTTGTCCTACGCGGACGATGTAGCGATTTTTTGTGTTGACCACGAAAGTGTGAGCAAGGCTGTACAGTTAACAGAACTATTTTGTGAACAGACGTGTAGTGCAGTCAACTGGCAGAAGTGTGTTGGTTTTTGGCACGGTGACTGGCCCTCAGCACCCGCTATTTTTGACCGTATTGTCTCGTCCGACACGCCGGCGCGTTACCTTGGAGTACCCTTGGATCAGTACCGCGTCAATGATCAGTACTGGAGGGATGAGACTGAAGTTCTGCGTGCAAAGGCCGAGAAATGGGGGGGAAAGGGTTTATCCGTTTTTGCGCGGGCAACTGTTTGCAATTTGTTTCTGGCTGCAAAAGTCTGGTATGTGTTGCAGGTTTTGTATTGTTCACGTATTAACATTCAGCGGATCCATCGTGTTTTCGCCGTTTTCATCTGGAGCTCGGCCTGGGAACGAACCAGCCGCACAAATCTTTTTTGTAGGGTTAAAGCTGGTGGTATAGGTCTTTCACACCTGTTTATAAGACAACTGGTTAGCAGGTTTATGTTTCTTAGAGACCAGCAAGACCCTTTTTTGCGTACAGTTATTCAGACGCGGCTGCGCAGTGCCCTGCCAGATTTTGTGGTGGCGACGAATGTAGACATCTGCCCTGGTTTACGCGGATACTTGAAAGAGGTTGTTGGTGCGTATCGGTTTTTAACAGCACGTTTTTCTTTGCAGTATTTGTCCGGTGTGTCGCGTAAACGGTTGTCGAGAGACCTGATGGATGCGCTTTTCCCCATGCCTTTGTATCGTTTGTTGTACAGTGCAGGCCCAGGGCAAGATGTTTTAAAGCGCGTTAAAAGAATGCTGGTCCCTGCCTATACCAAGACGTTTTTCTTTAAGTTACACAGTGAAACACTCCCCGTTAAAGCTTGGTTATCTGAGAAAGGTATACCGGTCCCATGGTCCGATAACTGTTTTTTGTGTAAAAAGCGAGAAACTATTGAACACGTCTTCATCGACTGTTGGGACGCGGTTTTCTTTTGGGACGTCCTTCAGAGGACTCTCAAAAAGGACCTCCCAATAACGCCTCAGGGAATTAGGTTTTTACCCACAGAAAGAGCGGACGATGTGCCGTATGACATGATAATGCTCCTGGGCCTGCACAGTATATGGCGGTGCCGTATGGCTGTACGCCACGCAGATGTTGATGTACGCCCTGTTCGCAAGTATTTCGTTGAAAATATCTGTTTTCTGATTGAAGTGTACAAGGCGCAGGAACCACGACCTGATTGGTTGCCTGCTCTTGAGGGGCTAGCTACCCTAAAGGACTTTTAACATTTCTGACACCAGCCGAGCTGACTGATGTCCTCGTTTTTATCCCTGTTGTTTTAAGTACGGGGTGATGGTGAATGTCACTGTCCTGTTCCAGGCAATAAAGAAAAAAAAAAAAGTGGAGTGGTGTAGCGGTTAGCACACCCGACCGGGCATTGGGAGGCCCAGGGTTCAAATCCTGGCTCCGCCGTTTTTCGGCTTTCGTCGGGTTCCTGAAAAACTTTAATTCATTGGATTAAGTACGGTTCATTGATCTGCATATGTTCGTTTATATGCTCCTCGGAGACCACGTACGATGGTGTGAAGTGCCCGTGTTATATATGTATATAGAACACGGGCAATGTTCATCGGCCAGACTGGAAGATGCCTAAACGTTCTCATTAAGGAGCTCCATTTAGAAGTTAACAAGGAGTCATCGGACCCATTCCGCCCCATAGTTGTGCATGCCCGTACCTGCCACGATTGCACCCCAAACTTTGAAAACACCCCTGTGCTTGACTCACACAGGAATAAGTGGGGGCGCGAAATAATTGAGGCGTTTAAGATCAGATACGCCGCAAACAATGTCTATGAGCTTTTTTTTTTTTTTTTGGCATTATCGTCAAAAGAGCTGGAGTTCCTCGCGACAGAATTATCGTAAAAAAGCTTGTTTTAATCAATGATTAATTTTGCCTTCTTTTCCTTTCTTTTCTTCCTCCTTTTCTCTCATTTCTTCTCCCTTTCCCTTTTTTTCGGGGGTTAATTTCCATAATTTTTCCTACCATTTTAATGTGGTATTTTTAAAATTTGTGAGCAATTTGGTTTTATTTTGAACTTGAGTATTTTCTTTTTTTTTTTTCTTGCACTTCTTTGGAATTCAAGGTCGTAGCGTCATGGGCATCTCATTTCGTTGTTGCTCATTGAAAGAACTGTGTGTGCTTGTGTTCGTCATTTACGTATTTTATTCGTTCTGCGTATCCTGCAGTTTTTCAACGCGTTCTGCTACGTGTACCTTTTTGAGGATTTTGGAGGTATAGGGAAAATTGTAGGTAGTATCTCTGCGCATCGATAAACAGACCCTTTTTTGCCCGACTTAGTATCGATAAATTTTATTGCTTCGCTTTTTTCATGAACGAAGGGCCACGTTCATTTCACAAAACGCCTAAATTAAACCTTATAATTTTGCTTCTACGATAACCGTAGCAATAGATTAAATTGGTCGTCAGCCTTAAAGAGGGGCATAAAATGCCATGTCTGGATTTCTTTTCCTGGCTATTACGAATAGCCAGCCCCAGAAAAAAGAGCCATGTTGTCAATTTGAAAATACCACCATATTTTAGCCACCCCTTTTTCCCTTCTTCTCCTTTGTTTTTACTCGTTCTTCTGCTCTGGCGTTCAAGCTGAATACTGGTAGAATACAATGCATAGATAAATAAAATATTTCTTCATAATGCTAATATGCATCTCAATAGCGTAGTAGATTCAGATTACTGTCAATGTGGCTCATAATGGGAACGAAGCTTGAAGCGTTAAATATGGCCTGACGATGTGTCTTTTCTTTCGAGAAGTTGGGCATGATCCCTGCGGGCGTGCCTTACAGCGCATACAATAGACATCGTTCTAGAAATTTGAAGCAAATATGTATACCGATCGTTGTACTCTCGTTCTTTTCAAACAGATCCTCGACTTGGAGGCCTGGTCACGTGTATGCCCGCATGGGATGGCTTGTCGTGTTGGCCTCGGACACCAGGGGAATCCGTGGCGCTGGTCTCGTGTTTCTCGTCCCTCAACGGCCTGGACTACGACACAAGCCGTGAGTTTATTCAAATGCACCTCAGTTCGCTTTTTGCGGGGCCAGTGCACCAGCGCAGTGTACACTCAGAGGCGCCTGAGAGTAGACTCTACTCTGAAGCGTCTCTGAGTGTACACTGCGCCGCAGTGCTCTCGGAACGCCAATCAGTGGTTTTCGTTTCATCGGTTAAGCAGACGAGAACGGCCATCCGGGTCCTTGTCCAATGGCCATGGCCCATGCGTCATCAGTGTCAAGAAAGGGGAGGCGGGCGGAGGGCACAATTCTGCCACTGACAAGACTGCACGCCTCTTAATTGGGGTAAAATAGCACTGGCGTTTTCAAACTGATTTAAAACATAATGGGTAGATTCAGGCATATGGCGGGTGCAGCCTAAGAAATGCCTGCGCGTCTACTTACCCGCAAAACACTCAAAGAGCCGATCATTGCGATCTAGGAAATCAGCTCAGCGAATGATGAGGCGGAACATCTGTTTGGACCTTAGAATTAAGTCAGACTTGATTTTTAGGTCTAAACTGATGTTTAGCCTCCTCATTCGCTGAGCTGATTTCCTAGATCGCAATGATGGGCTCTTTGAGTGGTTTGCGGGTAAGTAGACGCGCAGGCATTTTTTCGGGTATAGGCACACATATAAGAACTTTTATTGGGGAGAAGAGAGCGCGTAACATTACAATGGGGAAAGAGGCGATGGTAAGGATACATTTTGGAAGACAAAATTACCAGCAATACCGCGCCTCCAGGACGCAAAATAACAAAGATAAATGAAAAGTAATTCGAATATTCGAGGATGTGTGCTAATAGCGGTAAAAAGAAGTGTATTTCGTATTGTCATATTATTTCAAGCTCCAATTTTGAGTCAGCCTCTGTTTTTATTACATCATCTTGCACAAAAACAATTTTTGGGGTCTCCGACCTCCAAGTTATACCGGCATATTTTCTAACGAGCTTCATTCTCTCGGCTTTAACTTGCCTACCATGAACTGGCTAAAACTCAACAGCCAGTAGGTTCAAAGAAGCCAGGGATTTTATCGATCTATGCTTAAATTAAAATTTCATCCGAGTCGTTGACGAACCTACATGTGAAGAAAATCTCCCTGATCTTGCTCTTACGATGACCCCGGTCTGGTGACATCCATTAGCCAAACGGATGATTTTAGCAACCACAATTTTCTGACCGTGGAGTTATAAAAAAAACCACCTCAAAAATGATCAGGGACTATCCCAAAAACAGCTTTGACACAATAAACAGCGACCTTACTGCATGTCTACCCTTATATACCACAAGCCTTTACTAGGTCCGTAGAACAAAATTACTTACTTTTTTTTTTTAACAAGTTAAATAATCTCGTAGTCATATTTGTACCCACTGTTCATAAACGGGGCTGCGGTTGCAACCCATGGTATAACAAAGCATTAAAGTATCTCGACATTACACAGAATTGCGATTGTACAAAAGGGCGAGGTGTCCAGACAGCGATTATGTCTGGCACGGCTACTTTTCGTGTCTTAAAGGGATGCTGAACCTAAATTCGGATTTCACAAGATGAGCTTGCAGAAGTGTTCAGCAGGGCGCCATAAACCACGAAACATCACTCAAATAGCCACATCTCAAGCGGATGGCCGTATTTCTGGAAAATAAAGCAGTGAATGGGGGAGAATATTGACGTCATCTCATCGCAGAAGATTTGAGAAGGAGGAGAAATGGCCTCGCTCCCTTTCATCTCCGCGCCCTCGCGGAGTCAAAGCGAAAAGAGGAGGAAATGAGAATCGCGAGGTCACGCGTCTTTGCGGCCTTCTGCGAACGCGCTCTTCTTTTACAAAAATACGACGGTCCGTTAGAGATACCGCTTTATGACCGACGTTTTGGGATTTGTAGCGTCCCGCCTATCGATTCTGCGTTGTTTTCTGAATTTCGATTTTTAGTTCAGCATTTCTTTAAGACCTACACTCAGGACCTTCGTCTGGCTAAACATAAGTTCTTTACTGAATACGTTTCAAGTATCCTACGCAACAAGCCAAAAATTTCTGGAAGATAATCTCTCCTAACTATCACTCCTCCTCCATCCAGCTAACTGATGAAGATGGAACCCGAATATCTGAAACAGACTCTGCCACAGCTTTAAATGACTATTTTTCGTCGGGTTTACGATAAAAGACGCCAACGTTCAAATATTCCCATCATTATTACGCCAGTCTATTGAATCTTTTGTCATTTCAAGGGCTGAAATTATGAAGTTCCTTGACAACTTGAAACTGCCCCCTCTGGAGGACCTGATGACATCACCCTTAAATGTTTCCACCATACCAAAGCGATTTCTAGCGAATTTTTCTGCCTACCATTTTCACAGTCACTATCACAAGTATGCCCGACTGGAAACTGGGCAAGGTTGTTTCGGTCTTCAAAAACGATGGTCGCTTTTCAGCCTCGGATTACCGCCATATATCACTTACATGCGTAGCCACAAAACTAATCGGGCATATTATCTACTCAAAAGTTGTATCACATCCTTAGAGAAATTATTTATTTTACAACCAGCAACATGTTTTTTGTAAAGAACAGTCTTATGAGACTCAGCTCGTAAAATTCACCCACGAGTTCTACGCTAATTTCAAATCCAACCATCAAACCGATGCTTTATTTTTGGACGTTTCGAAGGCCTTCCATCGCGTTTCCCATCGTCCCCTGCTTGCTAAACTTTCATGCCTCAAAATTGGCTGTCGCACTCTCCTGAATACTTTTTTTTCGCATTTAGTTTACTACAGTTAACAGTTGTTCACTCACCCAAGCAGAAGTTACCTCGTGAGTCCCCCAGGGGTCAAACCTTAATCCTCTACTTTTTTTTTTTTTTTCATTACTGACTTTTTAGACAAAATTTCCTCAAACATCCGCCTTTTCGCTGACGGTTGCTTGTATACCGTGAAATTGTTTCGTTGCAAGACCATCTCAACTTCAATATGACGTGGAAGGAATCCAGGCATGGTGCACTTAGTCAGATATAACATAGGAAGTGCGAGGGGGAAGGGCGCAAACTAGGAAAGGTGAAGTGTAGAGGGGCGACCTCCTTTCCTCAACGGCTTTTCTTGTGCGCACCCTTTTCTTCCTCGCACTGTCTTTCTTATGATGTATCTGACTATAGGTGGTTAATGACATTAAACAAATCAAAATGTAAGTTAGTTCCGTTCTCGTGAAAACGACAAGTATCCTAGTTCTCATACAAATTAGAAAATACCTTACCTCGGTGTGACTTTAGCAAACAATTTCACCTGGAACGCTCACACCGAGCTTATCTCCGCCGAGGCGTATCGGTACCTCGGCTACATGTGACGAAAACCAAAATCCCCCCCCCCCCCTTTCTCGGTTAGTGTATCTTGTTGTCTGACATACATTCGACCCCAAATTGGAATATGCTGCGGCCTTCACCAAATCTACTAATCAAATCATCTCGAAGCAGTACAGAATCGCACTGCAAGGTTTATTTTAAAGAAATACAATTGGTCGACGAGTGTATCAGCCCTCAAAACGAACTGAACCTTTCTTTACTAAACGCCCGCCGCAAGATAACACCCCTTTGCCTCTTTCACAAAATGTACCGCTACCTTGCTGCGCTCCGAGACTCTATCCTCCTCCACTTCAGGCGATCCTCTTCGCGGATCAATCACCCATGTCACGTTTCCCGCATCTCAGACAGCACAACCTGTTTAAACTACTCCTTTCTCCCTTACTATTCTAGACTGGAAAGACCTCGCCTCATATATTGCAACACAGGCAGATCCAACTGACTTTCCCCGCGCCCTTTGTTCTCACTCTTGTTAATGTCCATTTTGGCGTCTTACTTATCTGGTACTTACTGGCTGTGTTATGCACTGTCATGCTTCACCTCCCTGTTACTGTGCTCCGCATGTACCCAAACCAATTTGTGTGTCATTACCTTCTGACCGTGGCGATGGCCGCGTTGTCATCCAACATTCCATGTATTCACTTATGATCGTGTTATAGTTTTATCCTCTCGTGGTTTTGTATCCCACCCCCTTCAAACAGGGGCTCTTAAGGCAGTTTGAATGAATAAAATTAATATATGCCGTTCCTCACAAAGCAATCAGCACCTGCCCGGTCCTACTGGCTTGTCCCTGTCCCATTTTTGCTATTTTATTTGTAACGAAAAATGCATCAACTAAGCAAGCATTATTACAGGTAACCATGCTACTTGCTTTCAATTCATTTTGACGAGAGAACTAAAGGACTGATTTTCTCCATTAAAAATGTTTAACGCCATTTTCAGTATTGTTTTTAGATCGTAATGTTTACCCCCAGAAGGCCTGAGAATAGCAGCCTAAGTTTGGTAAATCTAGAAGCCTAACTTAGGCCTAATAAGGCTTTGCTCCAAGACGTTGGATACTGCCGAGGTGCTTTTCTTTGTTTTTCTGTGTTTTTTTTTCTGGTTTCTCGCATCATTCCTGAAGTGCAAGGCATTTATAGTTAAAGATACCGTGTATCAGCTAAACGACCGGTATTAAAGCCAAAGTCGGACGCTTGTTTGGCCATTTAAGCCCAATGTTTTAAGCTGAAAGCCGAACATCGAGAACCGAAGCCTAATTCAGGCACTTATCTGGTAAAAGATTATCCACCTTGACTTTTTGAAGGGTTTTCAGGAACCTAAATTGCGTGGCAAAAAACTAATCTCGTCTCAAAGAATTGTGCTACGCACCTGGGCGGCCACTTCAAAAATTTTACAAAACAGCTTCCACAAGTCTCGACCCATTAAACGGTTAATTGTCTGCGCTCTAACTATATGGACGTCCTATTAGCCTTACAAATGGGTTCGATGCCGTAGCGAAATGCCGCCGCACGCTTGAAGATTCTTTCGCTGCATCACAAACAGCCTCCGTGATGTTCCAACGTTTGGTTCGAAAGAGCATCAATCACGGTAAGACCGGAAGGCTCTTCAGGAGTTGGGGAGAGCGCCGCTCCCGGAGCAATCGGTTTGTTCGTTTGAAACTGGCGA